AAGTTCAAAATGATGCAGCCACTTCTCTCGCTGTTGTAAAACTTTGAATGCAAGCGTCAGATGCCTAACAGAATCTTGTGTACATGCACGTTCTTCTCGAATCAGATAAAGTAGGTGCTGGCTAGCGGATGCAATCTTTCTAAAATGCGTAAGCGATATTTGGACTCTTGAAGGAGATTTCTGTGAAACCTAGATATAGTTCCCATTTTTCCGTCCGGCATAGGATTGTCGAGGCTGGGATGGAGTTCAGATACTATATAAGCAGCTTTGTACGTATATGTGTTATTCTGCAAGAAGGCTATCACTAATTCTTCTGCATAATTACTCCATAAGAATACTTACCCTATTGGCTTTGCAAATGATCAAAACTTTATCAAATATGAAGACATGGCGAGTTTTCATTTTTCCGAACTGCTGACTAGTCGATTCGGACAGGCGGACCTCTCCGTCGGCATTTAGCCTACCGTAATCCATGAGTGTGACGTCTTCAGGCTACAAATCAAAAAATAGCACTGAGCTTCTCAACGCAATCTTTTCCCAAAAAATCCAGCTCTACATAACTGGAACTACCCAAACCTGCATTTTACTAACCATAGTTAGTTCCGTGATGCTGTTTTGGACCTCATTGATCAGCTGTCTAGTTTCGTTGTCGCGCTTCATCTCATTCACATAAGAATTTACATCATCCATGGCTTCTTTAGCCAATTCGAGCGACTTCCGATCTGGAGCATCAATTGGCGTAGACTTTATCATCTCCTGGAAGAAAGAGCTCACAACAGATTAATATCTAACATATGGTATCAACGTTTGTTAGGATAATTCTACATTTTATTATTTATTTATTATTTAAATTGAAGATTTTAATGAAGTGCTGAACTTCAGAACCCACTGACTTCCGGATTTCATTTGAAAATTAAACACAGTAACCACATACTAAGCACAAATGTAGGAAAGACTTGTTTTTTTTTGATGATTACAAAAAAAGCGATCAATTTTAGAGAGAACAT